CTTCTGCACCACACACCCCAGTACGACTATCAAGGCATTGATTACTACTAGAGACCACTGCAAACACATTGATTTGGAAAGTGTTTAACTGCTTTAATGACTCCACATCCTGCTATTTTCATGATTGTTAATGCTAACGGTTAGCTGCTCTGCTGTTTCCTGGGCACTAAATCCACAACGGGTTCATGTTCAACCTGCATGTTAAACTCAGAGTTGCTAATGATTTTCAGATATGATAAGAATCTCAGAGTTTGATCAGAGTTACATAACTGATCAAATTTTCTTGTCTTATGATGCACAAATAATTTTAATAGTTTTTTATATTATTTCAAATAAAAATGTTCTGACGCTCTTAATTAAACACTAATCATAAGTGTTCGCTCTTTGCCCCTTTTAGTCGTGTCTAACCAGGGGTTGGTTATGTAATTGGAGGGGGATTGTTTGATGATTCTAAGGGCCCATGACTGGCAAGAGGCCCAAAATTTTTTGTTTTATTTTTATTACATTTGTTTAAAAAAATTAATAGTATGTGACACAAGATATTTTGTCATAGGGCCCAGAATCCCTGGCTGCAACCCTGCATCTTACAGCTTAAGTGATTTAAGGATGTGGTTTTTGTGATGTTACCCATTTGATTATATCAGTGTCCAGGGCTGTGCTTGTGTGCATTCACACAGTGTTCCCCACTAACACGACACATGCTCTTGGCTTTGGTTAGAAAGTTAAGCCTCAACTAATAAAATCATAATGCATTAAGGATCTTGGCGATTCAACTGCATCTATGTTTTCCAGGGATTTTACCAATGGTTTCACTTGGAAAACTTGGAGGAACGGAGGAGAGAGGGAGAAGAATATGCAGAGAGAGTGGGAGGTGAGCGGGAGCTTCGTCCAGCGGAGCCAGGACAAAAATTTATGGCCAGGAAGAACGATGAATGCGTAATTTACGGTGCATGCTCTACCATTCCCCCTGCCCTCCCTTTTAGTAATGAGAAACGGCTGTTTTGTTGCGGGGCCAATGCTTGGTACCCCCCCCCCCACCCAGTCCCATCTGGCGATGACACACCATTAGTTTTTATTTCTGTCTCTGCTTTTACGACCCCTGCCCAGGCGCCAGCTTTGGCCAGGGATCGAGGCCATCCTATCACACCAAGTGAGTTCTTTCACCTCCTAAGACGGCTCCTTGTACCCCAAAGAAAACCAGAACTGCTGAAGTCTTTTTAATTGGGGGAAAAGCATTACCAGAGGGAGTTTTTTTTAATTCACTGGGTTATTTGGGAGGGGGGTTGGTGGATTTCTGGTCTGGTTAGCTTTACTACAAAAAATTCTCAAAATTATTCAAATTTGCCAAAACTGGACTCTATTTTCTTGCATTTTCTACAATCTAAAAACCAGACAATCCTCATCCTCGAGTGCTGCTATCCAGCATGTTTTAGTTGTTTTCCTGCTCCAACACACCTAATTCAATGGATGAATCACCTGTTCAGCAGCTTATCAAGTTCTGCATAAGCCTGTTGATGACCTACAGATTAAAATCAAATGTGTTGAAACAGGGAAACAACTAAACTATGCTGGATAGCTTCATCTGAGGACCAGGATTGCCCATACCTGCTATAAACAACCATCTGCATGGGGAAAGAATGGGGAGAATAATTTTAGGTGTACAGAAACAGAACCAAAGTGACAAAAAATAAATTGTTAATTTACCAAAGACTCAGTCAGACCATCTAAAATTTGAATGAAAGGCGGGCTTGTTGAACAAAGCTATAATTTTGCAACTGCACAACTATCCATCCATCCATTGTGCTGCCATCACTGTGCACAACTGTTGTGTTCTTTTGTTAGAATTACTCACTTTGACACTTCCTGGAAAAAAAATGGACACTGTCAATTTCTTTCAAACTTGTGTCAATATCCAAAAACATTTGGATATTGACATTGAAGTTCCAACATTGTCCAGGACATGTAGACTTCAGCCTCGGTGGTTCCTCCATTTAAGCATCCTAAACCATCAAATTTTCATTTTATTTGCATAATTTTTTCTTTTTTCAGACTGTGGCAAAGTGGTGGTATCCAAATTACTATGGTTTATGTACATTTGTTTTTCAAATTAAAGAGAAAATGTGTAGTTTTTACTGTAAAATCTCTGGAAACATCTATCGAAATGTTGGTGAAGATTGAATAAATGATGCCCAGTTATTTAAAAGTATATGTATAACCAGAAAAATCGAGTCTAAAATACATGGGAGCGAGCCCAAGGCTGTGTCCAAATTCAGGGGATGCATGCTCATAAGGTAGGATGTTGAGACCAGTGATGCCACAGCGCCGCGGCAAAAACTGTCCAAATTCAACGAGTGCTCAGAATGTGGTCTTAATATCAGTTCTTCTTTCCCCTGATTTTGAGAATAGGTGCGGTGTTGTTTCCTAACCACTATAAATCCCAAGAAACACTGTGGGATATCACACAGATGGATATGAAATACAGTAGCGTGTTCATGTTTTTCAGTACCCCAATGTACTCATGTCATGAAGCTAGCTTAAGTTGACATGAAATTGAAAAGAGCTTTTAGACTTAAAAAAGGGCAAATAACACTATAGCAGCGTATCATTACGTCTCAGCCTGACATACAAAATATGCCGGGGCTACATCAGCTGTAGCTCTTCAAACAGTAACAAAACAAGGAAATGGTTTAAAACGTGAGCTCCATTTCTGCAGCTTCGTCTTAGTGCTGTAGCGGTTGCTAGGTAACAGGAGGACATCGCCAAAGTAGGGCCAGGACTGTTATTTAAGGCTAGACTGTCCAAAAATACAGCTGTTAACATCTGGTCTAACTGGTCACGGAAGAACACATTCTCCTGAGACCAGTGACGACGGGTACTCACGAACATGCAACCCCTGAATTTGGACACACCCCAAGCACTGCGCCCTGCGGTCTTCAGCAAAGTGCACTTGGAGAAAGTGCGCAGTAAGGCTTTGTGTATGTGGTACACAAGTGTGCAAATTTTTGCAGAATTGAGACGGGGAGTTTTGCGTCATCGATTGCAACGCATGCCGGGATGCTGGTCACTGTGATACTTTGTTCAAAAACCTTAACTAACAACTTTCAAACCAACAGCCAAACAGTTATTTGAAATAAAGTTACATTCGTTGCTGCTTTGTCTAAAACATTCAGAGTATCAACTAATCGTCCTAAAACAAAATTTTATTAGAAAATACATATTTTCAGACAAGGAACTTGAGCCTTTTCTCCCGCGGCAATGGATTATAGGTAATACAATTCACTTGGGTGAAGCACGGATCAAGAGGGTAAAAAGGGCGTGATCAACTTCCAGACTTGAGAATCGGCACACACCACTCATTCACACCCCTGGTCAGGATTGTGCAGTTGAAGGGCGCAAGGGTGGAAGTGCGAGTATTGGAATTGGGCCTAAGTCTGCAGGTGACGCCCGTGAGGACAAAATGCATTTACTGATTTGTAACAAACAATTACAAAACTTTCACCATTCATAAACGTTGTTTTACACATTTACCTCTTCACTTGTTGCCAGTGATGAAAGGGAGTCTGATGTCTTTTGCTGGAGGTTGCACTCCCAGGAATTTTGGACCCTAATGGCCATCTGTTGGTAAGGTCTTACTCAAACACAGAAATACTGCTCAGTGATTTAGGTATCTACTGCCCCCTATCACCAGGGAAAATACACACTGTCACTTTAATCTTGGAACCTGAAATTGTTCAGAAACGTGAGTAAATCTGCAGTTCTCCTCAGAACCTTTTGTCTTCCAATGTTCTGAGTATTGGTCAATCCCATCTTTTTTCTGCAGCAAGGAAAATCTACCAGCTGCAATCAATCAGGGTCACTAACGTAACGTTTTTTAGTCTTGGCCTTGTCAAGTTAAAAGATGTTCTAGAATCTTTGGCATGACTCATTTTTTTGGTAAATATCTGAATTGGACCTAAGCCTCCAGATGACGCTGTGGTCCGTAGTGTGAGTATGTCTCTGTTTATAGGAACAAAATCCCAAACAAATTCAACTTCTTTGCACCTAACATTTCTCACAAAAAAAATCCTTGTATGTTGCGTAAATAATCCATTCTATAAAATAAAAATTTGACTGAAAATTCCCATGAGTTCTCTGTCTACTCCACAGTCTGCTCCAGTGGGACGTGCCAGGAAAACCTCCTGAGGGAGACAACAAAGAAACATCAATAAGATGTCTGAACCTTCTCAGCTGACTCTGATGATGGAGCTCATCAGATTGTTTTTAAGGCTGAACTCAGCCACCCTATGCAGGAAGCCCATTCCAGCCCCTTGCATCTGAAACTTTTGTCTTTTGGGACATGAGCCAAATCTTACCCTGATTATAGCTGTGGTCCGTAGTGTGACGTGATCAAGGAGAGATTAAGTTAAAGGCCCATTAGTCATCACACAATGGTGAAATTACATCTCTGCACTTGACCTATCCTCGTGGGGAGCAGCGAGCTGCAGATATGGCCGTGCTCGGGAACTATTTGGTGGCTTAACCCCCCAATCCAACCCCTTAAAGCTGAGGGTCAAGTGGGCAGGCACTGGGTCCCATTTTTTGAAGTCTTTGGTATGAGGCGACTGTGGATTTGAACCCAGATCTCCCGGTCCCAGGGCGGACACTATGTCACTAGGCCACTGAGGAGGAGTACATATCTGGTGGTGGTTGGAGGGACCGGTGGCGCCAGTGCAAGGCAGCCTCGCCTCCGTCAGTGTGCCTCATGCAGCTGTGGCTACATCGTCGCTCATCCCCACCAGGGTGTGAATATGTGCGTGAATGACTGATTGTGTTGTAAAACACCTTGGGGGGTTCCAGGACTCTAGATGGTGCTATATGCAATACAGGCCATTTATCATAGATGGCAAAATTATGACCTAAACTCAAAAATATATAGAGAGAAATTTTTAAGTCATTTACATTTTCTATCAGTTTCTTGTAACTTAATTAAATATATATAATGCATATAAAGAAAATGCAGCTGAAACATCACCAGCTTCAATTTTATTTAAGCTTTCACAGAATACATGATGATACTAATACTGATAAGACAGCTTGACATATTCACTTTTACAATCCAGAGTACAAAAAAATTGAATAATGTAGCATGAAACCTCTTCCAGAAATGTACATTTCAAACTTGGATAACCTCAGAAGAAACATTTTTTTTTCATCCTGCGTCATGAAGCCATCTTTTTGGAAATGTTTGTAAAACACTGATTGTTCTGAAATATGAGCAGTGGGAGAAGTTAAAGTTGTGCAAAATTGTCAGACCCTGTTGCAAACATGCTGATAACTGAAAAGCTGATGATTGGATGGCTTATGTAATAGTAACTTGGATTTAATATATCATTGTGCATGTCCATTTTTTTTGTTCTTTTGTTCAACAAGACAAGTTTTATGACACATCGCATGTGCAAATGTAAATGCAGGTGTACAAAATATGCCAATGACCAACTTGAATCTGTGCAGAAATGCATGTTAAAAGCCAAGACTTTGGGTTTAGACAGACATACACACACACACACACACACACACACACACAAGCGCACACACACGCAGCATACAATCATGCAAATATTTGTTTCTGTGCAGATATTTTGTCAGATCAAAACAAAATTTTGTTCCAAACCAAGAGAAAAACCCTCGAAAAAAGCTGTTTTTTTAAAACACATAAATCACAGACAGATATGGGTTGAGGAGTGATGCTTCCAGATTACCTCCTAAAAACCCTCACAACCCCAAAACATTTCCAGTGCCTTCATTTTGGTTTCATCTCACATTGGGAAATAATGGAATCAAGACTTAATACTGTTCATTGTTTATACATCACATCCTGTGACTGTTGAGGAACTCCATCTGCTGCCTCTCCAAAAAAAAAAAAGTAAAAAAAAAAAATCACACTAAAACAAATGAAATACAGATTACTGTGATTAAAAACGGGCTGGAATAAAATACACCATTGGTCTTCAGGAAGCCTTCCTTCAGCATCGACCTTCCAGCAAGAATTCTGCATTTGAAAAGCGAGATCTGTCAGTCCGTTCACGACACAAACCAAATCCAACCAGTTTTCTGTGTGGCTTTGCTATCCCACTGTGATCTCAACTCCAAACCACTGAGTCAACGTAACACAAAGACAAGTCTCCACAAGATATGTTCAGAAAGCTTCTTTTGTTGCAGCGGTCCTCCAGTTCTCGTTTTATCTTGGACAATGCAGCGTAGCAGCAGTGATTCTTTGTGTGTGGCTGGTGCTGTTTGGTGAGGCACAGGCTCAGTTTTGGTTTAAGCCTCACCGGGGCGAGGTCTCAGCGTTTAGGTGACAGCACTGGTTGTGATACTGGGAGCAGTGGTCGTCCTGCTCTGACCTTTCCTCCTCTTCCCTCCTCCTCCTCCTCCTCCTCTGCTACCATCTCGTCCTCGCCCACGTGCGTTCCCCTTGTCCCTCTTTTTTTCATCATCCGATCTAGTTCCCTTGTTTTTCCTCTCTGGAATGAAAATGCACAGAAAACACCTGTTTAAGTCTTTTTCAAAGAAAGACTTGCACAACATTTATTGACTTTTTTTTTATTTACAACATTTATATTTGTGCAGCAGGGCTTCTGCTTGGATAAACAAAAAAACCATGAGTGAAGATATGAGATCAGCGCATCAGAAAGTATGGTTTTATGTTTTTTTTTTAAAGAAAAACCATTCCAAGCTCCAATCCTTCAGTTACAGCACTGTGAAAAAATTATTGCATCATTTTTGATCAAACTTAAATGTTTCAGATCAGTAAACAAGTTTCTATATCAGACCAAAACACTTTTCAAATTATGATTTCACTTATTGAGGGGAAAGCTGTCCAACCTGGCCCTGTGTGGAAAAGTAGCCACACCCTTTGTTAAATCATCATCATCATCATCATTATTTCCAACATGCCAATAACATCATAATTAACAACAGGATATAAATCAATAATAAACCTCACAAGATAAATCAATAATAAATCAAGTTGACATTGTTGTAGGCATGTTCGAAAGGGAGTGGGCGGAAGCCAAGCTTATTCAAGCCCGCCCCTATTTTTCACTAACAGTTTAACATTCAATATGTAGAAAAAACTCCAATTCAACAACCTTATGACCAAAGAAAATCGTAATCATAACAATAATAATAATGGTAGTCTAGACAATTAAACAATTCTTCTTAAAGTAAACTTTAACCACAGTTTTCACTTGCCATACTCAGGCTGGACTCCTGCCAGTTCAATAGAACTAACACATCAATAGCACCTGGCATAGCACCTGGCAACATAAAGTTGGCTAAAAGATCTCAAAATGCAACACATTGTGCCATGTTTTTATTTTTTTTAATAAAGTCTAAATCAAAAGAAACCCTGAATAAAATCTAAAATGTAAAGTCTCACCAGTCATCGCACACTGTTGTCTGTGAAATTTCTTCTCCACATTTCACCCATCCCCTGGGGGAGCTGTGAGCTGCAGACACAGCCACGCTCGGGAACCATTTGGTAGTTAACACCCCAATCCAACCCCTTAATGCTGACTGTCAAGCGAGGAGGCATTGGGTTGCATTTTTTCTAAGTTTTTGGAGACTCGATTGGGATTTGAACCTCGATCTCCAAGTCTCAGGGCAGACGCTCATACCACTAGACCACTGAGCTGACATCGAGTGTCTCACTTGCTTGAAGTTGAGATCAGATTAGACAATAATAAACGTACAAGGGGGGGAAGAAGGGCATCCATGGGAGTGTTCCACAGCCAAATCCTCTAAATATCACAAAGGTCTGTCTCAGTTTACCAAAAATAAAAATATCATGTTGACCTCTAAAGCATTTGGGAAAATATTCTATGGACTGGAGTAAAACTAATATCAGTTTCAGAGAAAAACATCACACCAGAAGTAAAACATGGTGGTGATGGTGCGATGGTTTGGGGCTCCTTTGCTGCTTCAGGACTTGGACCACTAGCTGTAATTAATGGAGCCATAACTTCTGCTGTCTACTAGAAAACACTAAAGGAGAATGTCTTCCCTTGGACCTTAAACACTCAATTCATGTGGCTGAAACAAAATAATTGATCAACGAGAAGGAAAAACACATCCTTAAAGAAAATGAAATGTTCAGCTTTGAAAAAAATCCCTCTCACAAGCGATTTCAGCAGTGTTATTACCTTTAGTACCTTCCAACTTTTTCAAGGTTCTGTCACTTTAAGAAAACGGGCAGCTATAAGCTGAGAAGCTCTGACATCCCAGAGGGCTCGGAGTAGAGCTGCTGCTCTTCCAGCAGCAGCTATCTCTTCCACGTGAAAGGTGGTTTTGTTCTAATTTCTGCTTTTGTGACATAAATGAGAACTTTTTGAAACGGCTCGTTTTAGGGACATGGTTCCTAAAACTAAATGCTGACTGAAAATGGATGGGGACCTACATGGCAGCAAAAAACGATGCAAAAGGTGAGTTTTGCATGATGCATCCCTAATAGTGTTTGATTACCAATACAAATAACAAAAGTGGAAAAAAATACAAATTGTTTAGTCTTTCAAACACAAAATTAATTAATATTTTGTTGTAATTGTTTCCTCTTCCCTGCTTTCATTGACTTTGTTCATTTAAATGGGACTTTTATCAGTTCCACTGAATCCAAACCTAGTTTGCTTTGTAGATCTACGTACATGGAAGCGTGGACATATTTAAATGTGCTTTATGCACAATTAAAAACAATTAAAGGTCATATTTATTCATTTTTAATATATTTGCAGCGGTCTCTAGTAGGAATGAATGCCTATTTAAGTTGTTCTCTATGGGAAAAAAACTCTGGTGCTCCTGTTTGAGGACAGCTGGAGGAAGTAGCTTCAGACAACAAGATTTGGAGTCTTATTTCCTGATATTTGGACATCTCTCCTCTGATTGGCTAACATCAATGTGACTCCACCACTAACTCCATTTGCTCTGCATCACTGATGTTTTATCTCTACAAATAACTCAAGTTTGAAGGAGATCTGCTGCGTGGTGGAGTTGCTAATGCTAATGATTCGCTTCTGTAAGCTAAGACAACCTGCTGAGATGTCACTGTTTCCTGAACAGTAAAGCACCCTTTACTATCGCGAGTCAAGATGTTTGAGTCCAGGAATGTTAAGTGACAGCGTGACATAGATCTGTCAAGCCTTTCCAAACTAAATGTTTTTCTGTCAAATTTTTAACAGAAGCTAGTAGATGACTATTTGCATGTTCAGCCTACATGATCATTTTCAAAAACAAGTAAAAAATTGTTTCTCAGTGAGCCTGCTCCTTAAACGATGTGTAAAACAGTTAAATTTCTTTGACGGACAGCTTTTTATTACTAGTGTCTATCAGCTATCACCAGCTGGATAGAAGATAACTTCCTTCAGTTAAACTCTGAAAAGACTGAATGATCATTGCCCCTGAGAGCATGGTTCCCCTGATTAGTCTAAAACTTGGTCATTTATCCTCTGCCGTCCAGACAAACTTAAGTAATTTGGGTGTTATTTTTGACCAATAAAAGTCTCTTGAAAGTCACTGAAAAACATTGGTCCGAAACTGTTTTCATCATTTAAGAAATATCTCCAAACTGCAAAGGTTGGTGTCAAAACATGAACTTGAAATAGTTATCAAGGCCTTTATCTCCTGCCGTCTAGATTACTGTAACACACTCTTCACATGTTTTAACAAAAAAGCCCTTGACCGCCTTCAGTTGGTCCAGAACTCTGCAGCGAGGCTCCTAACTGGAGCAAACAGAAGAGCTCACATCACTCCTATTCTGACGTATCTGCACTGGTTACCCGTTAACTTTAGAGTTCATTTTAGAATCCTGACTAGAACTTTCAGGGCTCTACATGGTCAGGCTACTGAATTGTTAAAGCCTTATGCTCCAACCCGAGCCCTCGGGTCCACACACCAGAACCTTCTAGAAGTTCCAAAGACCAGATATAAAAGTCGAGGTGATCGCTCCTTCCAGACTGTTGCACCCCGACTCTGGAACGATCTTCCTTTATCCTTACGCAGCATTGACAGTCTGGACACTTTTAAAAAACAGCTGAAGACCCTTTTATTTAAAGCTGCTTTTACCTAAATCTTTAGTCTTCTTATCTTTAACTCAAACCTTTAATCTTTCATCTGTTTATGAAATTTTATAATTTTATGACTTTATTTTTTTCTGGCGTTAATCTGATTCTGTTTTGAGAGGATTTTGATTTTATGATGTTAATCTATTTATGATTTTATGACTTTGTTTTATTTTGTTTTGATCAATGTGAACACTTTGTGATTCCATGTCTGTGATTAGTGCTATATAAATAAAATTTACTTACTTACTTACTTTTTATCTGCAGCACAAATCATTATACAATGAGAGGAGGAGCATTCAGGTTTCCACGTTCTGTTTGCAAATAACAACTAAAACACCTGCAGCCTTGACTGTCTCTAAGCAAACTAGAGCTTTCATAGCGTGTTAGCATGTCAACATTAACAGTCACCTCAAAGCACGGCTGTAGTTTAACACATGGGGCCAATCTGTTTGTAGTCTCTCCATCTGTTTAATTTCAGTTTCTACTTCCCACTTGACACACCCTCAAACCCCCTCCATTCTCATCTCTGCTTGCTTTCTGGCTCACATCTGTCCCCCAAACTCTAAAGAGTATAATTGCTACAAAAAAACACAAACGGCATTGTGACTTGATTTTCAACAGACTGAGAGAGAAGAGTTGTGTGACTAAATCACCTTAAAATCACAGTCGTAATGAGATAAACATTGCCAAGAGTCCAGTAATTTTCAGCGGCAACCTGAAGAGCCAGTGAAGTTTTAACACAATGAAGTTTTTTTTATTTTGTGTATCTAAGGAAATGTAGGTAATGTGAATGATGTTTGTTGGGATCATATGTGCAGAAAGTCTCTTTACAAAGAGAGAAGAAAGTGAATGAGTGCCAAAAGCTCCAGTATTCGGTAAATGTCTGACCTTCCTACAATCCTGTTGGTGTAGCAGTTTGTCAGCTATGTTGTTACCACCAAAAAGTGACCTATGCCTTTGTGTATGAGTGACTTAATTTACTATTTATTGACATAAGCCAATGAAACTTTCAGAAACGATTTGCTGCTTATTCCCGTGCAACTGATTCATTATGGACAGTCAGTCCAATTAAAGAGACTATGTAGTTTTTACCGTTAATCTCTGGAAACATCCATCAAAATGTTGTTGAAAATGAATTAAATCATTAAGTCATTCGGTTTCGTAACATAACCATAAAAATTGAGTCTAAGGTACATAGGGCGTAGGTCTGGCGTTTTTGTGGGGCGTTATTTTAGACGCCACGTTTCCCCTGCGATCCACTGATTTCCCTCATTCCTATTCATGTTCTCTCTTCCTTTCCTTACATTATTTTAATCGCAATTTTTACCTTTTTTCTGTCATTTTAAACATATTTTTAATCATTTATTTGAAATATTTTTGATAATTTATTTTTTAAATATTTATTTGTG